AAGAAGGGCAAGAAGGAGGAGCCGGGTAATTATAGACCGGTCAGCCTTACCTCTGTCCCTGGAAAGGTGATGGAACAACTTATTCTTGACACCATCTCTAGACATATCAAGGATGAGGGGCTCATTAAGAGCAGCCAACATGATTTTACCAAGGGGAAGTCATGTTTGACCAACCTTATAGCCTTCGATGAGGAAATAACTAGGTGGATGGATGATGGTACAGCGGTAGATGAGGTTTTTCTTGATTTCAGTAAGGCATTTGATACTGTCTCCCACAGCATCCTCATAGATAAGCTAAGGAAGTGTGGGCTTGATGATCAGATAGTGAGGTGGATCAAGAGTTGGTTGAAAGGAAGAAGTCAGAGAGTTGTGGTCAATGGGGCAGAATCTAGCTGGAGGTCTGTGACTAGTGGAGTACCTCAGGGGTCGGTGCTGGGACGAGTGCTGTTTAATATTTTCATCAACAACCTGGATGAGGGAACTGAGTGTACCCTCAGCAAGTTTGCTGATGACACTAAACTGGAAGGAGTGGCTGACATACCAGAAGGCTGTGCTGCCATCCAGCGAGACCTGGATAGGTTGGAGAGTTAGGCAGGGAATAACTTGATGAAATTCAACAAGGGCAAGTGTAGGGTCTTGCATCTGGGGAAGAACAACCCCATGTACCAGTACAGGTTGGGGGCTGACCTGCTGGAAAGTAGTGAAGAGGAAAGGGACCTGGGGGTGCTGGTGGATGGGAGGATGACCATGAGCCAGCAATGTGCCTTTGTGGCCAAGAAGGCCAATGGCATCCTAGGGTGTATTAGAAAGGGTGTGGTTAGTAGGTCAAGAGAGGTTCTCCTCCCCCTCTACTCTGCCTTGGTAAGGCCACATCTGGAATATTGTGTCCAGTTCTGGGCCCCTCAGTTCAACAAGGACAGGGAATTGCTTGAAAGAGTCCAGTGCAGAGCCACAAAGATGATTAAGGGAGTGGAACATCTCCCTTATGAGAAGAGGCTGAAGGAGCTGGGTCTCTTTAGTTTGGAGGAGACTGAGGGGTAACCTCATCAATGTTTACAGATATGTAAAGGGTGAGTGTCAGGATGATGGAGCTAGGTTTTTTTCAATGATGTCCAGTGATAGGACAAGGGGCAGTGGGTGTAAACTGGAGCATAGGAGGTTCCATGTGAACATCAGGAGAAACTTCTTTACTGTGAGAGTGACAGAGCACTGGAACAGGTTGCCCAGGGGGGTTGTGGAGTCTCCTATGTTGGAGATACTCAAGGCCCACCTAGACAAGTTCCTGTGTGATGTACTCTAGGTTACCCTGCTCTTGCAGGGGGGTTGGACTAGGTATCTTTTGAGGTCCCTTCCAACCCTTGGGATTCTGTGATTCTGTGATTTACACTACTGCCCTTCCACTGACAAGCCTATGTAGCCATTAATACTCCTTTAGCAAGTCTTTTATTCCAAGGATTACTGAACAGTAAGGACTGGCTACCTTGGCACATACACGTCTCCCTTGAAGTGCTGTCCCCTGCCTAGCTACGGGACCTTCGGCAACCCATCCTTCTTCAAGCTGCATTTTAATGAATGTAAACCAGATCTCCCAAGTGTTTACTTATTACTTACAGCAGGGACCAACTACAGAAGGTGCTCAGAAGATTTATTGTGCCAGGCCAGTAAGATCCCACAGTTAATTTCCTTTCCGTGGCAATAACTCGGAGCTTTCTGTTTGCATTGCTGTGATGGTAAGGGCACTCTTCTCATATTAAGCTGAGTAAAGAGCATCTCTATATATTAACCTTCACTGCACAGAACATAATTGAACTGAATGGGGCTACTGCCCTCTGCATTTCAGCCAGACTTGACTTTGACAAATAATAATTCATTGGTTTACAAAGGCAGAAATAAACTTTATTATATAGGACGTGCAGGTGCAATGCTGTGATTATAGACACCAACATGATTCAACTTGAGATTTTACTTGTATCTTGCCAAAATAAACTACTATGAAGACCCAAATGACTCCAACAACACTACTATCAACGTGGCATTTAGAAGTTCCTTCCCTAGTGGGAACAAAACTATCTCTTTTCTTCCTAGGTTGAAAATCAAATGCACAGTATTAGCACCATCAGTGAGGTGCTTAACTTCAAAACTCCCTTTCCGGGTGAGAATGAAAATGCTACTTGTTTCCTTTTCTTTAAATTAACAGCAGTGTTTTTCTCTCTTTTCTACTACACACACTTGTTTAATCAACTCGAGGCACAGTAGGTCCCTGGTGCTCAAAAAGCATCGCAGGTATACACCTATGTTTGTCTGTGTGTACACATGTGTGACATATCCCATGCTCCAGGGCCAGGATTTAGCCTGTCTCCAGAATGATTCAAGCAGACAGTAATAAAGTACAAACAGTATGTCTGAAAAAAGGCAGGAAGGAAAGCCAAAAGGCTAGACTTTGGCTTAAGCCATCTTTGTACCAACAACAAGGCTACATCGATACAGAAGGAGCATTAGAGAAAAATAACCCCAAGTTAACAGCAGTAAGGTGCCAGTAAGGTACCAGACCATAGAAATGAGCTATTCCAGAAATGTGCAGGACTGTACTCTGACTTTTCTCCACAGTCACCTATATTTGTGTTCAGACGTGTGGTCAGGGGTCAAAGAAGTGAAATGGCTTTTGGTCAATTTGCCCTGTAAAACTGGGCAAAAAAAAAAAGGTTGTTCTAATCAGTCCTTGAGCCACTCTAAGACCAGATAATGTACTAGGCTCTGAAGCTGTGCTGAGTCTCCAGCGCTCCCTAGAATGATGCTTTTGGAGGAGTCAAGGGCTCACAGGTGAGTCCATACAACCTTATGCACGTGGGGTGACTGAAAGCAGATGCAAATCTCTGAGATATGGAGGTCTGCCTCAGATGTTTGACATCAGGAGCTGTCATTCACCCAGCAGCACCAAAATATGACTTTCAGGAGTCCCTCTTAGTACACAGGATGCCCTTACCACCTTCCGGAGTCTAACTCTTTCCAGCTCCTACTCTTACTGGGTATATAAAAGCACCTTGACACAGACTAGTCCTTAGTCACTTCACTTGATGGCTCAACTCGATGGTTGTCAAGGGGACAGGGCATTCACAGCTGTATCGTTTGCTCTGATACCTCTGTAAGAGTACAGACAGTCCTGATACAGCTACTCAGGCCTGGCAGAATTCCTGTCTATGAGGAGTACATCTCAAGCCTCAGCCAAGTCCCAACTGGCTCTGCTAGAAAGCAAGCTGGTTCACTGAACAGGCTGGCAGCATGGGTAACCTCAGCTTCAGCACAAACTCAAACCAGTTGAGTTTGTTTGCCAAGGATTCCCTTCACCCTTCGCTTCCAGGGTCTGTACTGATTGTGAAGGCAAGAATCTTCACAGAGCCAGAGGTCTGTGAAGAAGATCAAGATCTATCACACAGCTAGAGGTCTGCAAGACAGGCCCACCTTGTTTCTAAATGGACAGCCTAGTGTGACAGACCATGCCCTTTATAGATTTGAGCCTACACTACCAAATAGTCACATGCAGGACTGATACGACTAATGCCTGGAAACAGATGGGCAACACCACACTGGTGGTGTGCACAGTGCTTCTAAACCTGCTGACACTGTTTCTGAATAAACCCAAGACTCGTACACCACAGAATATACACACTTTCTGCTCTCTTCTTCCTCTACATGCTAACACAAAACAATCTTGCATCTGTTGGGCCCATCCCGCTCATTAATGTTCGCTTGCACTCTGTCGCTGGGTTATTCTTGCCAACGCACAAGTGAACATCTTGTGGGCTAGCCAAGAAAGCGAAGGAAAAACACTTCCACTCTAACAACAGATACAGAACAAAAGTACATTGGACTCCTTTTTTCTGGCTTTGCTTCCTTACTCAGTTTTGCACCATAAAGGTACTACAAGTTAAACCACTGCATAGCAATTTCCACGGGGTAAGACATTAAAGTCAGTTAAGGAGAAACACTCATTCCTTAAATGCAATCCACCTTACAGTTCACTCCACAATGGCATGTGGGTGTTAACACCCCAAAACTTCAGCACACACAGACTTCTAATTTGGGTAGTGAGGGAGGGAATCTTCCAGCTCTCCTGGGACAGCCCTCTGGAACTCGGAGCTCTCCTCTGCCGCACTAAGTGAGCACTGTTGGCAGATTGTGGTAATTTCACAGTGTGCTCATTACTTTTCCACACAGAATTCTTCATGTGGTTTTGAATCAAACCCTGAGGTAACTTTTGCAACGTGAGGACAGAGTGGCATGAGCAATGATCTGAGCACCTTGCAGCCAGCAGCCCGCAGAACCCCTAATGTAATTTTTCCTCCAGTACACTACCACAACCCATTTCCTTCCTTGCCACTACCTTCTCCTCACACGCCAAGGAGGCAAAAACACGAACTGATCCCATGAAGTCCGACCTCGACAAGGCTTGGATGACTCTATAAGCAGAATTTTCTTCCATGCTGTGCCCAGGCAGAATACAGTGTGGGTAACTGTGCCCGTACCACCTCTTTTTCCCAAACTCTGAAGGAAGGATGGGGGAACAAGCAGTGTGTCGCAGGCTCAAGGGTGAGCAGCTCCACTGGAAGCTTCCACTCCCCCGAGTACGAGCCTGAAAGCAACAATTTATTTGGTAGCCACACCGTGAAAACCCTCCGGGCTGGGGTTCAGCTCCAACCCAACCCAAGCCAACCCAACCCAACCCAACCCAACCCGGCCCGGTTCGTGCCGCCCCAAGTGACGCCTCCCTCAGCCGCCCGTAGCGGCGCACAAGGAGCAGCGCGCTCCACGCCACGCCCCCGCGGCGAGCGGCCCCGCCCCGCCCCTGAGGTACCGATACCCCACCCAAGCGCGGTCCCCCCATGACCGTTGCCGTCCCCACCCCTCCGGGCGCCGCAAAGCAGCCTGGGCCGGCGGGGAGGGGGAAGAGGGAAGAGCGCGGTGCGCGCCGGCTCTGAGGTCATCGCGCGCGGCCGGAAGGAGCGGGGCGGCGGTTCCCGCTGCGGGCCGGGGGGGCCGAGGAAGGCCCCGCGCGCGGAGCCCGGCGGCCATGGCGGCGGTGAAGGCGGCGGCCGAGCCCCTGGGACGGACGGCGGAGGAGGTGGCCTGGGCCGAGGCGTTGCGCGGGGTCTGCGAGCCCGAGCACCACTGGCGGCACCGCCGCGAGTTCCTGCTGCGCAACGTCGGGGAGCTGCCGGCGGCGGGCAGCGCCCAGCTCCAGCGCCTGGTGTCCCTCTCCATGGTGTGGGCCAACCACGTCTTCCTGGGCTGCCGGTGAGTGCGGTAGGGCGGCAGGCCCGCGGGCGGGGCGGGAGGCGGCCGGGCTTCACCTCTCCCCTCTTCTCCTTTCCCCTTGTCGCCCTTCTAGGTACCCGCCGCAGGTCATGGAGAAGGCTCTGGAAATGGCCGAAGGCATCCAAGTGACCAGCGCGCCTGTCCGCACCACGAGAGATGAACTGGTTGCCAAGGTGAAGAAAAGAGGCATATCAAGTAGCAATGGTTAGCAGATCATAGCTGTGACAATACATAGGAGTATAGAAAATGCTTGTTTTTGAATGTTCTCAGTTTACCTCGGGCCTAGAAAGAAGTTGAAATAATTTACTTTTTAAGCTCCTCGTTAATAGTTGCTCCTCTCTGTGCTATTTTTGCTTCATGCAATACCTGTATGTAAAATAGATGTGATGCATTTATATTCCTTTAGTAACATAGAGCTCTTTGTTTTGAATTCCTCTGTAGTGGTACACTTTAAGCTGATCATTCCTGTAATGCCGTCTAGACTGTTGGACTCTGGCTTAAACACATTCGTGTTACTTTGCCTTTAGCGCTAGTCAAACACTGCAGCTTTGGGCAAAACCTAGTTTTTTAAGGAAATTCTTAAAGTGCATTTTAAAGTAAAGCTATTCTAAAGATGCTTGTTATATTAGTATGCAAAATACTTGTTGTTGTTTAGGTCAGATAGTTTGTTTAATGTACTTTGATCATTTTTTGGTTTGGACTTTAAGAACAGCAATACATACTTGCCTGCCAGTCCCAGAACAAAACATGAAATCTTGCACCTGAGTTGGTTTTTGGTTTGGGGTTTTTTTTGCTGTTTTTTTTTTTTTAATACTAAAATATTCTGAAATGTTAGGTTAAAACTTGAAAACACAGTTCAGAGTTTATTCCTGATAGATACCTTTTAAATTAACAAAGATTATTGCTACAGGTTTTAGAAAATAGATAAATTGTCTCTAGATATTTTATAGTGCAGAAATATGAAGAGCATAATGTACTTTATTTGTTTTGCAGAAGGGATAGAGGTTCCCTCCAAGAAGCAAGCTGTTGAGAAAAGCAGAGATTCTAAGGATACCGTAAAGGATGTGAAAACAACTAAGGCAGAAGCTGCGAAAGAAACAGAGAGCATACTGCCTAAAGAGCGGGAAAAAGATAATAGCAAAGATCCGGAAATCTCCCAGTCAACTTGCAGTTCAAATCAAGAAACAATCATAGCATCGGACGTAAAAACAGAAGAAAAACCTGCTAATGCTGAAAATACTACTGAGCAAAGCCCACCTTCATCGGAAAAAGAGTCAGGAGAGAAGCCTTGCTCAAATCCGCCTAAGGAAAACAAGTGTGAAGATGTGCCATTGCCTGAAAAGAAAACTCCAGTAAGTGTAGTGCCAGCGTCTGCCAAGGGCTCCCCGCAGGCAGAGGCGGTGCCAGCAGTGGTGCCACTGCCTGCCAAGAGCACGCCACAGGCAGAGGTGGTGTTGGCAGCTGTGCCAGCAGCTGCCAGTAGCACCCCGCAGGCAGCAGCAGTGCCAGCAGCAGTGCTCCCAGCTGCCAAGAGCACCCCACAGGCCGCAGCAGTGCCACTGACCACCAAGAGCACCCCGCAGGCAGCAGCAGTGCCACTTGCTGGCAAGAGCACCTCACAAATAAGTGCTACATTGCTGTCTTCCAAAACCCAAGCAAGCACTGCAGCTTCAGTGTCCAAGAGCAGCACTCAGGTGGGCACCTCGCTGCTGCTGGCCCCCAAGAGTGGCACTCAGGTAGGCACCTCGCTGCTGCTGGCCTCCAAGGGCACAAAGGTAGGCTCCTCGCTCCTGGCCTCCAAGAGCAGTGCTGAAGTGGCTGCCTCGTTGCTGGCCGCTCGGAGTGGTGCTCAGCAGGGATCTTCACTGCTGACTTCCAAGAGTAGTGCTCAGGTGGCTGCTTCACTGCTGGCTGCTCGGAGTGGGGCTCAGCAGGGTCCCTCGTCACTGGCCTCCCGGGGTGGAGCTCAGGCAGGTGCTTCCCTGTTGGCTTCTAAGGGTGGCACACAGACAGGTTCCCCACAGCTTGCCTCCAAGAGTGGCTTGCAGGCAGGCGAAACCCCTGCTAAGGCTTTGCGCAAACCACTGACCAGCGACGATGTGAAGGAAAGACAACCTTTTTTCAACAGACTGTACAAAGCTGTAGCCTGGAAACTGGTTGCTGTTGGAGGCTTCAGTCCCAACGTAAATCACGTGGAACTTCTAAACTCATCTATTCAGTCTGTAAAAGCTACTTTAGACGTTGCTTTTGTTCCCCTGAAGGAACTTGCAGACTTGCCTCAAAATAAAAGCTCTCTGGAAAACATAGTTTGTGAACTGAGGTGCAAGTCTGTCTACTTGGGTACTGGCTGTGGTAAAAGTATGGAGAATGCCAAAGCGGTTGCTTCAAGAGAAGCTTTGAAGCTATTCCTCAAGAAGAGAGTTATTGTGAAGATCTGTAAAAGAAAATACAAAGGTAGTGAAATTGAAGATTTGGTACTTCTGGATGAAGAATCAAAACCTTCAAATTTACCTCCAGCTTTAAGAAATCCTCGTGAGATCTTGTAGGGAGCTTCTCTGTACTGTGTATAATATTTCAACACAAGGACTGAAGGTTAATTTTGTACTTTGAAAATGTAGGCTTCCAGATATTTTGTATTTCTTTCTCAGTTTTGCAAGACAATGATAGTCCTCTCACTTAGTAGCAATTGTATAAAACTTGTTAGAGATGACAGGTGCGCATTTAAAGGTATGCCTTAATATATAGCACACTAGTGTGCTGGTTTGTTTGCAAAATAGTCTACCTAATTCTTCTATTTTTAATTAAATGATTAAGGTACAATTTGCTGTTTAAAACCTGACAGTTTTGTAATTCTTACGACTTGATGGCAGTGTGCTCAATTGTCTATCATGTCTTTTTTAGCCATGTAGGAGTGTATATATAGGGACCATAATACTTGAAAGTTGTTAAAAAAATTCAGTCAAAAAGTTGAACTCCTCTGTTTCAGGCTTGTTGTTCATAATGTTCACTGTTGTGCATACTAGGAGAGAAAATAGTTGGTTCACTTATTTTTATGGGATGTTTTTGTAATGCTCACAATATAAATGACACCCTAATCCCATTTAACGTTACACTGGCAAATTACCAATTGGCAGTCAAGTCTGAGCTACATCAGCCACCAGAACTCTGTAAGCAAGTTTAATTTACATTGTGAAATAGCACTTGCTGATTTTTCTTGAAATAAACATAGATTTCTATACTGAGCATATTTTGACTGCTACTAAAACCTCTGGGATGTGTTTTTGTAGTACTTTGGTTGTGGCTCTTGACTATTCCAGCCATTTCAATAACTTTGCAACACCTGAATAAAAGCTTTACTTTGAGCGGCCTCAAGGTGTAATCCCACAAGGATGACTTGTTTTCTTTGGACTCATGGCTGCGATATTGTAAAACTGATGATGGACCTATAGAATACCTATTTCTACTTTTGTAATGCCAAGATAAGCAAAATGAAGATGCTGCTGTCTGCTAGAGACAGTGTATTGTGAAGCGTTCGCACTAACTGAGCCCTACCTTTGCTATGTTTTCACACCGTGTACGGAGTGGTTTGGAGCAAAGAAAGCGGGCGATTACCATTTATTTTCAATGTTACTGAAATACCTGCACAAACTGCATGTTTTGATATATCAGATAATGACATGTAATTGTAAAAACATAATGTCTTCAGTGCTATTTTGACTTGATCTTGTCTGATGACAGTAGTTAGCATTATTTAGTGGTGACCTTACACTTGTCTGACAGATCTGTTGATTGGGTACTGCAGGAGTGAAGATAAATTCCTGGGGTCTCCATAGTAGATGTGTCCACTGAAAGATTTCAGTTTCTTCTGTGATTCTGGGACTGAACCATTGTTACACTGTACCCTACACGATTCTTAACAGTGGTGGCTGTCCAGCTCGTAGCACCTGAAGTCTGCAAGGTGTGTGTGCTTCCCAGTGGCCTGTTTAGAACTTCCTCCATCTGACCCCTGCACCTCTGTGCTCTCCTGAGGTTTCTTGGGCATTCCTCCTCCGTGTTTCTGGAGCACGAGCTGAGCTTCGGAAGGCAACTTGTTAAATTTTGTTAAACCCCAATGCAGCACAAGGTTTGGCCTGTGCTCCTGGTGCAGAGCATGTTCTGTGCTGTGTTTGGGAGTTGTGGTATTCGTGCCAGGAAGCGCAACCTCTCTTTTCACATCCTCACTGTTCAGGTGGAGATACAGAGTGAGTGTTTTTGCGGGGCAGGAATTGCATCCTGTGCCTTCTGAAGTAGGCAGCAGCTTTTCTAGCAGTTGGTTTGGGCATCGCCAAGTCTCTAGCTGAGAACTGCAGCACGTGTTGCAATGTGAAAACCTGTGTTTGCTGTCTGTAAAATGAAGCGCACAGGATTTACAGAGCTTGTGGGGGTGGCAGGGTAACTGTGTTCTGAAAGGCTGAGGTGCTAGATGCTTTTTTATAAATTCCTGACTTGAGCTTACCTTTTTTAAAGAATTTTGAATGTTATTTCTCTTTGATGTTTGGTTGTGATTCATTAAAGGATGAGTCTGTAGCTACTCTATTATAGAAACTGAAAGTTGAAGTGTGTTCTTTTTGTTTCACTTCTGCATGGAAGGCAGCCCAACAAGCAGATTCTGACATACAAGTAAATAAGCATGAAGTATTTTAATGGTAATTATTAACATTTCATTAACTCTAGAGGAATAGTGAAAGAATTTTGAAGAACTTTCCGTGGCAAGAAGTGTGTGCAGTCTGGTCAGTTCTAAAATCTCTAGCTCTTCCTGCCAGGTGCTGTGCTGGCCTCTAGCTGTAATTGTCAGACCTTGCTGAGGACGAGCGGCTAGAACAAATGCACTAACGTGTGAGTGCGCAATTGTCTTGGGGACAAATGAAACCATGCAACCGAAAGAAAAACCGACCCTGTTTTCTCTGCGGGAGTGCGGGAAGCTCTCGGCAGATGTCTCCCGTTTGCTCCTCGGGCACCGCTGCTGCGCGCTGTCGATACCGGGGTGGGGACCATCGGCTATCGCCCGTGTTTCCCAGCGGCAGGACAATGCGGTGGTGCGGTCGCGGGCCACAAGGCGGCGCTGGAGCGCTTCCTCCTCTGCGCGGCTACCCACCTGCGCAGGCGCTGCCGGCACCCGGCGGCCGCTCGCTCTGCCCACATCGGGGCGGGGCCGCGGCTCTTGATTTGCTTAATATATTCCCGGGGCGGTGCGGTGGCTCAGCGGCACCGGGACCGCGGGCATCCGGCAGCGCTGCGCGCTTCGGGGCGGCTGGGCGGTCTCCCTGCCTGAGCACCGCCTGGGGAGACCGGCACAGACATAATCGGTGCAGCAAATAGCCCTCACACTAACCTAGGTGTTTTCTGTCTCTCTGGGTCATATAAGGCGGCGACTGCATAAACGAAACGCCGGGATGCTCTGAAGACCTGCTCGCTAGGCCACGTACGGAGGACGCTTGTTCCTCATGGGCTCTGGCCCGCCTAGGGGAAAGTCCCCGGACCGCCGGCAGAGAGTGCCGGGCGCTACCGCGCCCCCGCCCGCCCCCAACATCACCATGTCACTGCCGAGACGCCCCCGGGCCGAGCGGGTGAGCGCGGGGCGGGCTCTCGTCACGGCCACAGACACGCAGGTAGTGCGCAGGCGCACCAACAGAACGGGGCTCACTCTCAGGCCATCCCTTTTTACCGATGGCGGGGCTGGGCTCAGCCTCCCCAGGGGGGCGGAGCGGGGTGGCGTGCAGACCTCCCCGGCGCAGCGAAGGTGTCTTGGAGAAAGCAAAGCAGGCGTTGGGTATGCGCTGTTTCCCGGCAGCGGCTCCTGCACCCACCTCTACTCACCCCGAGAAGTAGACTCTGTGAGGGGGGCACTATACCTGCCCGAAAAGGCGTGCTTTCCTGCCCTGTTCCGGGAAGAAGCAAGAGGCCAAATGGAAGTATCTTGGCACATTTGTTTGTTTGCACTACGCGGAAGTAAAACATCAAACACCGGAGAATCTGAGCACAAAGCCTGGGAGTGCAGAGACATCTCTTCTCAGCACAGCAGCCCTTCATGCAGTCTGCGATGCACGGCTGTGAGTGCAGAGCACACCTCTGCTTTGCTCTGCTCTCCTGTACCCCTCAGAAGAAGCTGGTGCTACCAGGTGGCACCAGATAGTGCTACCAGTGTCATCTGCCCACTCAAGAGTTCCGTGCTTACGCTCCCTGATACTACACAAGATGCTGCTACCTGCAGCAACAACACACATAAATACTAGCCATGCTGATAAGCTGAATTAATTCATAGGCAGGTGCTGTTCTTGCCTCTAGTATGTCAACCAAATAACACATTGCCGTGCTTAACTCCACAGAAGTCATCCCTCTGCTGCCCTACAATCACGTCTGGGTGTGAAGCACGACAGAAGAGCACTGGCAGGGATCCCCAAAATAACACTAAGTTCAGGCATCTCAGGCCCCACAAATACGGTAAGTGCTCCCATGACCCAAACAGTACTGAAGGAGCCCAGAGCCAACACTTCCCCTGGCTCATGCTCTCTCAGTATTTACAAGCTGCCGTGGTGAGTGCTGGTCTGCTACACCAGTTATGTGTGTCTTTCTGGTCAAGCTGCAGGCACACAGCCCGTATGTAGGCACAGCAGCAAACCCCAGCGGCTTCCAGCATGTGCTGTTCTTCCTCCAGCAGTATCCTCATGGTGCCATCTTCTCAGCTGTGTCAGACTCCTGTGCTAAGCAGAAGCTACCAGTGTGCAGAGTGGGGAGCAGCGCTGTGCAGGACTAGCTGCGATAGTTGTGACTGCTTCATGGAGGAGCCTTGAAAGGTGCACAAAGGGCTGACAAACTGCCTGGCTTGAGCTGCCATTTTGGTTGCGGTCTCAGCCACTTGAACTACATGAGTGTCTTGGTCTCTTTTCTCCTGTAATTCTTCATGTGATAAGCTATATGTGTTTGGGAAGATAGAGATTTCAAATGAAAACACTACCAAAGAACGCATCCCGAAAGAAACAACTAAACTAGGGCATGGCTTTATGAAGTCCTCAGTTTTTTTTGTTGAGAAACTGTAACGAAATCCCAGTGTCCCAGTTTCATCTGCTAAAAAGGATCTATCCAGGGCTGTATGAAGCTACCATTTCATGAGCTGTCATCCCTCTGTACTGCAGGCAGCACCTGCAGGACAGGCTGCAGACCACAGACAAGCATGTGCAGGCAAGCTGAAGCTTGGGCAGGGATTGATGTGTGTTTTTGGTTTTTGGCCCTAAAGATCACACTATTGCACCTTCTCAATTTGGGCTGGTCATTTCTGGGGGGGGGGGGGGAACGGACAAAATTCACTGTAAGTTTATGGCAGATATTGGTCTTCAAATTTGTTAACAGAAGAGAATACACCAGAACTCAAACTCATCTTGTCTGTAGGTGACAATATAATGACATGACATGGCCTGGTGGTCCAGAAACTGAGGGAAAAAAGCCCACACAGACAGACCTCTGGTGCTGTCTTCCTCTTTCACTTGGCAGGTTTGTCCCTGTTTGCGTTGTAAGTGGCAAACTACAGAGCAAGTAACAGTAATGTCTGCTTTGCAAGATACTTAAAAAATCTTTTCTCTCAACTAAAATGTGCATTTTTGCAATGTTTTGCATGGTGTATACTATGCCGCACTCTTTGTCCATTTAACTTGTATCTGTGTGCCGCCTTGATGGTTCTGTCAGTAGCCACTGCCACAGCAAAGTTATCAATGTTAGCTAGGTTATGCTTTTAAGAAAATATTGTCATCTACGCCTGTTACCTGTGCACCACCCCCCATGTAAAAACTGCCCTCAGGAGGTATCAAGTTTTAGGCTGTGCTGAATTCCACTCCTCTTCCTTAGATTAATTTAAACCTGTTCAGTTTCCTGGAAACCCAGCGATTCCGTGTCTGAGCTAGGACAGTGGCCAGTGCAGAGGTGTCCTGGCTAGAGTGTCACCAACATTACTCGCAGGTGAGGAGTCTGGCTAGCCTTTTGTAAATGACAGCAGAAGTTCCCACCTACATTGAAGACTCACATACAAGTGTTAAGAAAAAAAGGGTTTATGTGGATACTTGGCAGTATTTTCAGGTATGTTGCAGGAAATTTTGAAAATGGCACATAACTTCCGAGCACAACTGCCTGTTGCTAAGGCAATGGATGATCAGTTCCAGCAGTTACCAGCCAGGTATTTTCTTCCTCCAGTAACATTTCCGCAACTCAAAAAGCATTGTTCAGCTCCCACATCTGAGCCTACAGCCCTTTAAAGTTTGAACTGTCACTGTTGGTCATGTAACATTAATCATTAGGCCTGAATGGACTGCCAAACAACTTGTTTTAAATGCCACTGTCAGAGAAGAATCCTACTGGGCAAAAGACACTGTCACTAGTAAGAAAGCCAATCTAACCAATGTTTGCCCAGTTTTCTAAATCCTCTGTGTTCTGTGTTTTAACTGCAGTTAAACTATATTCAGTCAGATTTTGCCACTGCCACTGCTAAACCCAGGACACCATATTTTGACAATAGCCTTCCACCCCAAATCCCTCCTTAGTTTGGAGCAAATGTCACATTTATTATTTGGGGGAAAGAGCGCATGGTTGAGAGGCTTGAGATACGAAATCACTCTTTGGTGCTATTTGCAGTGACTTTTCATTTGCACTAGAGATTAATAATTTATACTAGGTTTGGACAAGCAGATTCCAAAGAGAAGAAAAAAATCCACACTAGAAAAGAAATAAAATAAGGATTCCTCCTGTTTGGTGTGGAGTTTCAGTGACATATGCCTAAATTCTCCTCAGGTTTTCAAAGGAACTCTGCAGTTCATGAATGGGAACTCATCATCATCATCATCATGGCTTGAGTTTGCAAACGAAGATTTGGAAAGGGCTTTACCCACACTTACAAGTGCACTGATGGCTAAAAGGGCCAATGTGAGATAGGCAAATCCTGCTGTAAAAATCACAGCAAAAGGCCTCCTTGGGTGGTATAGGCAGGGCGCAATTCTTTAACAGAAGATGCCCGTTGGCCATGGCTAGCCAGCCAGGTGGAGGGGGGAGATGAGCTTTGGTTAGGCCACCTTTTCTAGGCCTCTCTCCATATGGAGCAAGCAGTGCTGTCCTTGAAGAAAAGGCTGCTTGGTCATTCAGGATGTTGCTGAACAAGACTGTCATCTCCTGGGTCAGTCTCCAGCGACCAATGTCCTGAACCGCCTGCATGCAGGGTTGGGTCTGCAACTTCCAGTGCACCTTAACACCTGCCATTTCGTCCCTCGCCTGGCACTACAGGGCTTTGCAAGTGTGGGGTAAACCCTTTGGGCCCACGCAGTGGATTTTTTAGGTGAGGCACAGCGTGTGCGGAGCTGGCTCCACCCTTTACACCTGAGGTTTATCTGCCAGGACCTAGTAAGCTTGGACAGTGACAGCAAAGTCCTCAGGTTGTAGGTTTGATTAGAGTGTCCTTCTCTTAGATGGATGGCCTTACAGGGCTATACGAGCTCCATCTGCCCAGGTTCGAAGTTAGAGTTGTCCTTCTCCTAGGATGGTTGCCTGAAGGCTAGTG